TTTTTCCGTTAAACATTTAACTTTCACACTGATCATAGATGGGGACACTTTTAAGAAAAATATATAATGTTTCTAACAACTAGGTCTTAAAGTTTTGATACTCAAATATGTATTTTTTGAAACACACATCAGTATTTTTATCTTTTTCTGTGATTGTAAACTATTACTTTATTTGGTCTAACTTTGAATAAATTAATTGGAATCTCTAGATTGTATAAAGTTACATTTCATTTTAATTATCAATTGTTTTCACAGGACCATTTCTTTGGGATTTTATTTCACTGGGTATTTTGAAACTACCGAATAAATGAGTTTTCAATTGGATCTGTTTTTACTGTTATCCTGGCAATTTTCAAATGGTGCCTTATTTTCGTGTTCATAAACATGGATAATACAATAAGTTAAATACTGAATTCCTACCATAGTATATTTTAAACATGAATTTTTGAGGATAGCAATTCTTTTGTTACAGGAAAATCCTTCCTGACCCGAACAAGATAGAATATAAATGTCATCCTAAAATACAGAGATGGCTAGGTCTTTCATAGTATAGTTGCTAATAATCAGGTTGAATAATCCATAATAGTAGGACTTAGAATATACAGTATAAAGATTTTATCAAAGATCATATTGATTATACATAATGCTTGTAAGTGGGAAAATGAACATAAAGTGCTTAGCACATAATGAATGTCAGCTATTACTTTGATTGTATACCAGAGAAAAAGATGAATATATACCAAAAAAGGTGTTTATGATTAGCTAAGAACCCTGTTATGGATCCGTTTTACAAATATTTCTAAGTATATACTGCGTTTGCTGACTTTTGCTGACCGTAGGCAAAATGTGATTCTCATCTATAAAATAATGAGTGGAATTAATACTGTTTTGAGGTCTGTGTATGTATGTGTGTTCCAGCTTCTATAAAAATTTTTTAAGGGGCACCTGGGTGGCTTAGTGGGTTAAGCGTCTGCCTTTGACTAGGGTCATTATCCCAGGGTCCTGGGATCGAGCCCCACGTCAGGCTTCCTGCTCAGCGGAGAGCCTGCTTCTCCCTCTCCCTCGCCCTCTGCCTGCCACCCTGCCTATCTGTGCTCTCTCTCTCTGTCTCTGTCAAAGAAATAAATAAAATCTGTAAAAAAAATTTTTTAGTAAAATTTTTGCAAATATAATTTTAAACAACTTAATACATAAGCAAATAAAAACAGAGCTCTTTAGCTGAAAGGGGAAAAGGAATGTCATTACTCTGAGACACCTTCATAGAATCCATGAAAAATGAAGCACAGTTAACTAACCACTTAACTAGAAGATCCATAATGTTTCATTCCACTTTAAAAACTGTAATTCTTTAATACTGCTTTGAGTTGGAATTTACTGTCTTGTAATGAATTTTAATTGTATAACTTTTATGTGTTTTGAAGTTATGGAAATCTAAGAGAATTCAGAATATATGAGTGATTGTTGAGAACTATGGTCCATATAGTATAGTGATTAAGAGTACAACCTCTCGAGTTATAGCATCTAGATTTTCCCAGTATTGCTATTTATTAGCTATATGATCCATAGCAAGATGCTTAATCTTCCCATGCTTTAGAATCTTCATTTGTAAAATGGTGACACAGATAGGCTTATCATTGGATGATAAAGAAGATTAAGTGAGATAATAAATATGAAATGCTTAATATATAATGAATTTCAATTATTATCTTGATTATAGATCCAAACAATGAACATTTAAGGAAAAAATGCATATGATTGGATAGGAACTCTGGTAAAGAGTTCAGTTTACTAATATTTCTAATTTTTCTCTGTGTCCTTCAAGTTAATTATTATATCAGTATAAAACAGGCTGAAGTAAAGTTTATAATTTTCATGTTAATACCATAAAAAGTTTGACTATTTCTATTGTAATTTTTCCCATTTTATCTGATTTTTGTGATGACGTGTTGATGACTTTTTATTAGTCAGTGCAGTGAAGAGCATAGTAGTTCCTGTAGTCATCATATACTGGGGGGGGTAAAAAACAGTAAAATATGGTGACCCAAACTGATTGATTTTAATGTTTTTACATACAAAAATTATTATATTCACTTGCTTCTCAAAAAATGCCATATTCTTATTTATAATACAATAAGAAAATTTATTGTGTTGGTGGAAAAAAAGCTTTAACTATAATATATATTGTTAGGCAGCTAAAATTTTAGAATTTCTGTTGTGTCTGTTTTTGATTTCTTGCTTTGTTTTTAACTTAAACTTTAGATGGAACATGAATTTTAGAAAAGTGCCTTCTTTAGCAAAACTCATTTCACAGCTGACTAGCAAGCCTTTAAAGGAGCAAAGGTTTATTCCATTTTAATTAAGCCTGCAAAACTTTCAGGCTCCTGAGGTTTATAACTAAGCTCTCATATTTGCCAAATTGGGCAAGAAACTTGAGAACAAATTTTATGATATATTATAGCTTCAATTTTAGTTCAGCAGGAAACCAACTTTCCTTAAAGTGTGCCAACATTTTGTTTTTTTCCTTTTGACCCTACTCAGGAAGTGGTGTAAATGAGCATTTATATTAAAATTATGAAAAGCAGGAAATTTGTCTTAAATCAACAGGTTGATTTGAGTGTCTGCTAAATATGGGATGAAAATTATGTATTAATCAAAATTATTACACTCATTGCAAAAAAATTAAAAGTGGGAAATATCTTTTGGGAATTAATAAGAAAGAATCCAAACTTTTTTCAATTTCAGATGTTTTTGTAGCATCATTGTTTATATGTATTTTCATTTATTTCAGAGAGACATTCAGATTTATAATTTTGAGGGACTCTATAAAGAAAGGGAATATAAAATCCAAATAAAATATTAGGTAATGGATCTTTGAAAGGAATAAGGTGAATGTCATAGTCTTCTTCCTCCATATGTAGGTTAGAAATGACTCTTTAAGATACATAGAATAAAATTGTTGAATTGAAATAGAAAATAATCCATCATTTAATATTTATGCTAATAAATACAAAAATACTATATAAGTAAAGTTTTATTTTGCCTTTAATTTTGGATGGATATTTTATCAAGATCTAGACTTTTAGATTTCCAGTTTTCCCTCAGCATATTAATCAAAGCTTTCCATTGTCTTCTGGATTCCATAGTTTATGTTAAATACTCAGCTATAAGTTTTACTGTTTTTCCTTTGAAGATGAGGTGTCCTTTTTCTCTTCCTGGTTATTTTTAAGATTTTCTTATCTTTTATTTTCAACAGTTTGGCTGCTCATGTCATTTTATTTTACTTTTTCCAGTGTGGGTTGGTTGAGTCAGTGAATTAGTGTATTGAATCAGTTTTGGAATAATCTCAGCTGTTTGAAAATACTGCTTTTGCCCCATTCTCTCTCTCCTCAACTACAGTTATATTGAGCTGTTTGATTCCCATGTTTCTTTTGCTCTGTTCTTTTCACGTATGTGTTTTTCCTCTTTCCTTCAGTTTGGATATTTTTTGCTGATCACTTTAAGTTCACAAGTCCTGTTTTTCTGTGTTGAGTCAGCTATAAAACTCATCCACTGATTTCCTAATTTCAGATACTGTGTTTCTCAATTCTAAAATTACTGTTTAATTCTTTTTTATAGATTTTAATTCTTTGCTGAAATTTTCCTTCTTTCATCCACTGTGAACATTTTTCTGTATCTTCAACTTATGTTAAATAAATTTTTTTGAAAGTTTAAGTTTTCTTAAAGTCCTTGTCCTCTGATTCTGTATCATCTGTGGGTCAGTATCTATCTACCTATCTAGCTATCTATCTATCTATCTAGCTAGCTAGCTAGCTAGCTAGCTATATAGCTATCTAGCTATCTGTGTATGTGTGTGTACATAATATACATATATATAAAATATATAATTTTTTCTCTTGGTTATTGGTCACATTTTGGGTCCTTTTGCATACTTTGTAATTTTTGTTATATACCAGTATTGTTTATTATAGGATCAAAGAAATTGATATAAATGCTATTAAGTGTTAAGTGCCAATCACTTTAACTCAGCTTCAAACTGAGCTGGGTAGAGTGAAAACTTCAGATATACTTAGTCTACCTCTCGTCTTAAATGTCTTTATGGGTAAAACTTGTGTTGCAGATATTCTGATGTGACTTTGTTCTTATGTGTTGTGGAATTGTGAGAAGTTTTACTATATCTCTTGAGTTCTGCCCCCTTTTACTAACCCCTCCTGCCCCCCTTGCTTTTGGTTGAGAGCAAATGTTTTTCTTAGGGGAGATCTGCTGAAATTCTACACTGAAAGTGGTAGGCTCCACTTACTGTAGTGTGACTTTGACTCCTAATCACCATAGCACTATAGAAAACATTATTTGCCCTCTGGCCCATTTTTTCCTCCTCGTTCCAAATCCTCTTGTGCTGTCCAACCCTCAGCAAATCTTCCAGCAGAAAATGGTTTTCATAGGATTTCTTAGGGTTCCATAGGATTTCATTCTGTCATGCCAGCCTGTGAACCATCAAGAACTATGCTGGTTTTTCTTTTCTCTAGTAGTGTCCCTCTTTCTGGCTCTTAGCTCGTAAGTGGCAAATTCTTCTGGAAATGAAAACAATAGGAGGCTTAGCTTTTCTCCTAGTTTATTCTTATTAGCTCACATTGCTGTCTTATATCTTTAAAAATATGATTTGAGGGGACAGCTAATCTTTTTTTTTCTAGTTGTTGAAGCAGTGACTTGCCACTATGTGCTGGTAACATAGTCTTATAAAAGTAAGAACAAAATTTAAACCCATGTGTTTAGTCTTTTATATGTTGGATTTATATAAAGTTTGTATGTTTAGATTATTGGCTTGTTATTGAATATTAATATTTGTTGCTAAATCTATTAGGCCCAGAAATTGATTACCGTTGATCTTTGAAAAAATCCTATCCATAGAGCCAGCCAATTAAAAATTCCATTTTGTCAGTAGTAATTGAAATAAAATGGAAGCAAAAATTAATTTTCTTTTTCTCTCCCCCTTTCCTGTTTAGTGAGTGATAGTTGCTTCAGGAATCTTGCAGAAGATCGCAGTGGGATAAATCTCAAAGATCTCGTACAAGATCCTTCTTTGTGAGTATTTGGTTTTCAGTACTAAGCATAATTTAAAATTTTATAGTTAGTGTGACTTTTTCAAAAGAGTTGTAAATGAGAACTAATTTAATGTTGAGTAAGTTTTTCTTTTCTAACAATTTGTGTTGCATATAGTGAAGGACATCCAACAGTTTCAATAGAAGTGAAGGTATAGAATAGTTTCTTTTTAGAAATATAAGAGATATTAGAAGAAGAGATAGCATTATGATTAATGATCAACTTTCAAAGAGTCTTTATTAATGGTTGATGATATCTTGCCAATGTGGCAGTAGATACTGGGTAGGGAAGATGATGAGTAATTCATTTGCTGGGAAAGGTGCAATTAAATTTGCTCGCATCAATTTTAAACTTTTTTTTTTTGGATAATTTGTAATACTTATAAGTACAATTATGAATATAAAATATTTATAATATACTTGAATATTTAGAATATATTTAATATTTTATGTTAGAAAGCCATTGAAGGAAAAATTTTTGAAGTGTTTTATAGGTTTCAATTTTTAATGTTCTTACTAATGTCATTTTCTATTTTCATTTTATGAATTAATTTTTTACAATTTTATATTTACTGTAAATTATGCATCCTATCTTCTATATGAACATACCTTCTGGTAGGATCACCTTTATTAAAAAAAAAAAAATCAAGACTAGTTAAGCCTTATGCAGCAGAGAAAAGAAAATGGAGTGCTGGCAGGTGCTTTCTTTAATGATGTATGTAATGCGTTCAGTAAAACAGAACAGGAAATCAGTCTTTCTTTTTTTTAATTTTTTTTTTTTTTAAGATTTTATTTATTTGCGAGAGAGAGAATGAGAGACAGCATGAGAGGGAGGAGGGTCAGAGGGAGAAGCAGACTCCCTGCTGAGCAGGGAGCCTGATGTGGGACTCGATCCCAGGACTCCAGGATCATGACCTGAGCCGAAGGCAGACGCTTAACCAACTGAGCCACCCAGGCGCCCAGAAATCAGTCTTTCATATCATATATAATGTACACTCCCACAAGTTTTACTAGTAATTGAGTGTTTTGTGAGGAATAAAGCACAAGCATGTGTCAAATCTGGAGGATATTGATTCTTTAATGATTTCCCAGTCATTTAAAAAAAATATAGTCACAAGATACAGAATCTTGAAAATGAATCTTAAAATTTATAATGTAATGAATTTAGAAATGAGCTTCTAAACTCAATTCTCAATTTTTTTTTATTAATCTGTTTCTCTTTTTCTCACTCAAAAGGAATGTCAGTATTCTTTCTCCATCTTTATGCTACTGAAAATTGACAGTTGTCCTTTCAGTCCTATAAATATTTAATCAAGAATATAACTATTCTTTATTTTGATGTAAATATTCCCAGTAAATTAATGTCAAATAACATTTATTTGCATGAAGAATTCTGTTTTCCTTATAGATATAGGAGGAAACTTTATAATTGTTTTTGAAAGATTTCATCCATCTGAATGAATAACAAATTATTCCATTGTATTATTTGAAGGTATATTTTTGGTCACAATAGTATTATTTATCTGTATTGCATAGTCTTTGTGGAAAGAATGTGCTCATCTAGACATTAATGATATAAAAGCTATGGAGAATTATACTTAAATAATTGATGATAACAATGAATTATAGTGTTTTCAGAGAATTTGGTACTTCTTCCAAGAATGTAGAATAATCATCATGCAAACTCATACTAAATTTTAAATTTAATCTTAGTATTCTAAGAGAAATTTATCTGAGATCACTACGGCATGGGTTGGAGAAAATAATTCTGTCTCTGTTTTGAAATAGCAGATATCTTACCTTAGCATCATTCTCTTAACTTGGCATTAGTTTCTTGACATTAGTCTTGAAAATAAGAATTTAGTGAGAATTCATTTTGCCTTTGCCACTTGGAAAGAACTTTTTTTTTATTAATAGTCAAAATGTACTATTAATGACTTTAATTCATATTTTAGCAATATATTTCTTCCTTAGCAAAATTCTTAAAGGAAGGAAATGCCTAGTGTAGAAATTAATGTATTTTTTTCAGTTGTTATGATGGGAAATATTTTATTCTGAGTTATTCTATAACAGTATTCACTTAGTACATACCTCATGGGTACAGATTTTTTTCTTAAAGACATTTACCTCTCTTCTGTCCCAAACTCCTGACAAAAATCTTTACTATTTGTTCATTGATTCATGTATACTACATGGTTCTATATGGCGTTGAATTGTTTATGTTGCAACATTGAGTTGAAAATATGTCAAAAATAATGTCTTTACAGTAAAAAAATCTCCTGCTTAAAAAAATCACTGGCATTTGGTAAATACTCCAGATTCCTGAACTGCTAATGCTGAAAGGAATTGATGTGTAAAGAAAAACTAAGTATTACAATCACTAAGGCTATTCAAAAGGAAGAGGATAAAGAGGGAAGGAAAAAAGAAGTGAAGAGAACCCAGGCTATCTGGTCAATATTGACACTTGGAGCAGTTTATAGTATGTCATAGTTGGATAAATGAGCATGTATGGAATTTCTGTGGGCAAAGTAGAAAAATAAAACCAAATCAAATGTGGTATGTGTGTCTGTATGAGTGTCTGTCTATAAATGAATGAATGAAGTTTTAAGGGTTTATTGCCTCAGAGGAGAATGAAAAAGCAGAACAAAAAGTGATACTTTTAAATCTGTGTCGAGCTAATGGAGTAATGTGATAGGCCTTCTGTCATTTATCTAGTTAGTCTGTGTAAACTACACTCGCCAAGATTTTGCTTCCATTGTATGGTAGAACTAATTGGGCTTGAATGAACTGAGTGATCTATGTTATAAGAACATGATGGAGGGATGCCATGAGAGAAAAAGATGAGAAAGTTGTGAATCCCTAAGAAAGACGTTCTGGCCTTACTGCTTTTGAGGCTGTTTCAATAATGAGAGCAGAATGTGACTTGTGGGAAGATTGAGGTAAAGGGGATACTTGAGAAGCTCTCTTCTTTGGTAGTTATTCTGGGAATAATTTTTTCTATCACAATCCTGCAGGTGTTAAGTGTAAGACCAAATAGAGGATCTTGACCTTCATTTCTTGCTGATGAATGTGTCTGAGGATTTGTTTGAATTAGTAATTTGCATGCATATTAAATTTCAAAATGAACAATTTTATCTGTTTTAAAAGCTCATCTTATGTTTATGATTTTAAGTATTTTAAGATTGATTTCCTCTGCTATATGTATAATTTGTTCTGTTGTGTTGTAAGACCTCTTGTTTTACTGTGGTTTCTCAATGGCACATTGAAAAGCATTGTCAAATTTAACTTGATGTTTCACCGTATTAGAAACACATCCAATGTGATAGATACTTTTCATACATAAAGGAAGTTATTCTTAGCATGATATAATTAATTTTTTTCTCTTTAAGTTGAGGGATGCATGATATTTAAGTTATAAAAAATCATTTATGCTGCTTCTTGTTATTTATGCTAAAGAGATGACTTATTACATGCAAATTATATACTGTATATAATGTTAAGTTATATTCAGTTGTGTTCTTTATAGAGGTAATTCTCAAAAATACTTTTAAATCCCCATTGATTGTGTGCTGAAGATGAAAGATAAAACATATTACCATATTTATACTTTAGATTTCCTATTGCTTACTTATACACTATTTAACACAAATAATTATTTGAACTCAGAAACATTTATAGAAATTATTGAAGCTGTTTAAGAATCAAAAGAGGAAAAATAAGAATGAAAAGGGCTAACATAATCGAACACCTGTTTGTACTATTCATTGTGTTGATGCCGATGATGTGTGTGGTATAGGTGGGTATGTCTTGTTTAATTTGCAGAAGCCCTTAAAGTTTAGGACCATCCTAGATATGTGTTACGTAAGTGAGTTATAGGAAGAGTAGTTTAATTCATAGCAGAATTGGATATCTCTTGACACTAGAAATATAATTTATAATCCAGGGTACTAGTAATTTTCTTTATAGTCAAACAGGGAAAGTTTATATTCTTTGAGAATTTTGTACAGCATGACAAATATGTCAGTCTTCTTTTTTTTCCCTTTATGGTACTCAGCATTTTTTCAATTGTTTCAGTGATATATAGATTTTGAAAAGATACTACCAATTTATAACCTCTTGTGATTTGTAAAAAAGTATGATTCAATGAAATAGATCTTAATTCTGAATCCTGAATAAATTATGTTATGGATCAAGAAATACTTTTTTCTTATCAGTATTCTTGGTATTTCTTTTAATTGTCATAAAATAAAAATAACATAAAATTTACCATCTCAACCAGTTTTAAGTGTACAGTTCAGTAATGTTAAGTATATATGCACTATTATGCAATCAGTCCCTAGAAATTTTTCATCTTAACGGAACTGCAATGCTATACTTGTTAAACAATAACTCCCCATCCCTCCTCCAGCCTTTGGCAACTACTATTGTACTTTCTGTTTCTATGATTTTGACTTTTGTAGAAATCTCATGTAAATAGAATCATGCAGTATTTGTCTTTTTGTGACTGGTTTATTTCACTTAGCATAATAGTCCCAAGGGAATTCTCCCATGTTGTAGCATGTGTAAGAATTTCCTTTTTAAAGCTTAATTATATTCCATTATTTCATTATATGTTCCATTAATCGATATATTTACACCATATTTTGTTTATTCATCCATCAGTGGACACAGGATTGCTTCTAACCTTTGTCTATTGTGAATAATACTGCTATGAACATGGATGTGCAAATACCTCTTTGAGACCCTGCTTTCAATTCTTTTGGTTGTATACACAGGAGCAGAATTGCTGTATCATATGGTAAATCAACTTTAATTTTTGAAGAAATGCCATACTTTTTTTTCCATAGTGACTGCACCATTTTATATTCCCACCAACAGTGCAAAAGGGTTCCAATTTCTTGACTTCCTCACCAACACTCATTATTTTCTGTTTGTTTGTGGTTTTTGTTGTTGTTGATATGCCATTCTAATGGGTGTGATGTG